AGTCGGTGAAAAATGGAGGCGGGGGCGGCAGGCGATTAGCCGCCCAGGCACGCTCCTCCGGGGGCGGGCGGGGCGCCCCTCGCTGGGGTGGGATGGCCAGGCGGGGCGCTGGAAAGTGTGAGCAGGGCAGCGTGTAGCGGAAACCTGGAGCCAGCTGGGATCCTGGGTTCGCTTCCTCATTCAGGCCGCTTGATTTTGGGAAAGTGATTTGACTTCTGCACAAAGTCTACCCTGTTGAGGTTGATGTGAGATTTCGTGGGATACTTGGCAAGGTGCTTTTGCTAGATGAATGGTAGCGAGATACAGTGCCCTCGGAACTCGGGAAAACCCTATCCAAATAGACAGGGGAATGGCTCTGCTACCTTCACCAGGGGGCGGGGGTGGAGGACCTGTTCGGAAAGTAAAGGAACGGATGATTTCCCAAGTTGGTGGAACCTTGGCAGTTCTCCCCCCAACAGCCCTAGCACAGTCGGAATCCCTTCCCGTCAGGGAGCTCTTGCATCCTCCTCCCCACACCCCACCTCCCATTTGCCCTTTAGTCTCTTTGCTTACATCCTCTGAGGCCCCCTTCAGTGGAAGCCATCTAGGGGACAGGAGAGAGGGTAGCAAGCACCCCTCACACTCCACCCCCTTCTCCCCTTAGTGAGGTAAAGGCTCCTATTCTAGCAGGTTTCTTTCTGCATGTCAGGAGTTGCTTTTCTTTGTTCACCAGTGCTTACTCTGGAGCAGTAGAGGTCCAGACACCCCCAACTCTGTACTTAGGGGAAAACAGTCACTAAGGAACAGTACCAGAGTATGGGGATGGGGTTGAAAACAAAATGAATACCTTTTAGCAGAGTTTTACCCCTCTCCTCCTGATATCTGGGTGGTGGCCTCAGTCCTTTAGCCTGCTGTCCTCGGAGCAGACTCTGCCTTGGGCACTGTCCTCTTTCTAGAGGGGCGCTCTCTGGAGGCAGAACCCACCTTGGCTGGCTGACCAGTGCTTGTCTGCTGGCTCAGTGGATTCTATCTACCAGTCCTCCCTTCCCCTGCGGCACTCCATATGTACTCCCAGCTAGTAGGGAGAGAGGAGGCTGGACACGGTCATAAATGAGGGCTTTAGGTGTTTTAAAAGTTATAAAAAGTGGCTTTAGTCAGTTTAAGCAAGAAAGGGAAATTATTGAGTGCGATTGGGCATCTCAAGGAACCCAAGGGCTGCTGGCATTTGTGTGAGCCTGCAGTAGCCAGGTATCCTAGGTCTGCTTGTTGCTTCTGTTTCTCTCCCTGCTTCAGCTTCCCATGACCCCAATGCACTCCCACCAGCTTTGACTTGATGGCATCTCTGTACCTCTGTATTATTTTCCAGAGACTGCCGTAATAAATTGCTGCAAACTAGGGGCCTTAAAACAACAGATTTATTCTCTTACAGTTCAGGAGACCAGAATTTTGAAATCAAAGTGTCAGCAGGATTGACTCTTTTTCACAGTTCTGAGGGAAAATCCATTCTGTGCCTCTCCTAGTTCCCGGTGGCTCCTGGCAGTGCTTAGCGTTCCTTGTCTTATAACTGCACCACTTCCATTTCTGCCTCTTTCTCCTCTGTGTTTCTGGGTCTTCTTTTCTGTCTAAGGACACTTGTGAATGAATTTAGGGCCCACCCCAATCCAGAATGATTTCATCTTGAAATCCTTACCTTAATTGCAGCTGCAAAAACCCTTATTCCAAATAAGTCCACATTCTGAGGTTCTAGGGGGAGCCAGTATTCAACATACTATAGGTCCTTTTTCCAAATTGCTGGAGGGAAGAATCTGTTTGGTCAGAGGAACAGGGTCATCAGAATGGCCATTTGTCATTTCTTGGCTGCCTTGCATCCGAAGAGCCTTCCTATTGAGGAATTTGAATGCATGAGCATCTCCTTCCTCATTTATGGCAATGAGGAACTACCACTTGGAACTTAGGCTCTGGGCTAGTGGCAGTTCAGAGTACATTTGTGTTGTGGCAGCAACTGGTTAGGGTTAGGCAGTGACCGGTGGTAAAAGAGGTGGCCAGCATCCTGACCTATGCATGCCTTCCCTGTGCATGCGTGGTTTTACACACACACACACACACACACACACACACGCCCATTTTCCAAACCTGGTTCTCTAGTCTTCCCACTGAGTGGACAAGAAACCCCATAGTAGATATTTTCCTAGTAGGGCTTTTTTTTTTTTTTTTTGCTTGAGTTGGCTATGTTTAATATCTATGGTTTGCTAAATAAAACACTGAGTTAAATGCTTAGATTGCCAAATCATAGTGAGTGACTGAGACAACCCATATACCATATTATTGTCTGTTTCTGTTTTGTTTGTTTTGGTTTGTGTTGTTGTTGTTAATCCTCACCCAAGGATATTTTTCCCATTGGTTTTTAGAGAGAGTAGAAGGGAGGGAGGAAGGAAGAGAGAGAGAGAGAAAGAGAGAGAGAGAGAGAGAGAGGGAGAGAGAGAGAGAGAGAGAGAGAAACATCCCTGTGAGATGTTTGCCACTTGCACCTGTCCCAACTGGGGCTGGGGCTGGAACCTACAACCTAGGCATGTGCCCTTGACTGGGACTCGAACCTGCAAACCTTCAGTGCACAGGCCGATGCTGCAACCACTGAGCACCACCGCCTAATCTTGTTGCCTATTCTGGACCAAGTACAGTGCTAGACACTGAAATAACAGGGGTGAAAAACTGGCTGTTGGGGGCCAGGAACTCTGAGTCTTGTAAGATGAGGCTTCAATGCTAGCAGAACCCTTGGAGAGTATTCATCCATCCACTGCATCTTATACATGGAAACAGATGGAAGATGGGGAGGTCTTTTCTACAGGTTACCCCAGGGATCACTAGTAGTCAAACCTGGACCAGACTCAGGAGTCCTTTCAGCCCTCATTCCATGTTTTTCCATCACAATCAAACAATACATATACAGTGAGTGCCTACTGTATGCTGCCCTGTGCCAGGTGTCTGTGGAGAATCAGGCATACTATATAGTCTTGGGGCAGGAGAGACATGGCCACAGAGAGGTGACCTGCTACTGGCTGAGAGAAGTGGTGAGGGCCCACTCAGAGAACAAATCTAAGGATCATTGTGTACCCCCCCAAAGTGAAGGAGGTGTTCAGAAAAGGCTTCCTGGCAGAGAGGGGTTTGAGAAGGCCTTGAAGGATAGAAGGGATGTGAATAGACAATCTAGGTAAAAGGGAGCAGGGGGGATGACTGTGGCAACAATTTGTTGGCCAGTCTGGTGGGCTTTATGTGGGGATCCAGTGAGAAGAGCAGGGGTCAGTTGGATGGGCCTTGAATGGCTTTGGTGGCCTTTCTTCTTCCTTTCTGTCTCCTCTACCTCCTGCTCTCTCTAAGTAAGGCTGTCAGAGGTGTTCTAGTGGCTTACTGCACAAGGGCATCCAGGGCAAGTGGTGACTAAAATCTAGCCTCTCCACCACCCACAAAGCTATGCACCCTGATGTGGGACTGCTCTGCCCAGAGAATTGTGCTTTTCACATGTGCACAAAGACACCTTAGGAGCTAGCAGTGACTCCGTGCTCTCACCTGCTTTTGTCTCCTCCTCTGCCTATAACTTAGTGACCTGACCAGATGGCATCTTAGCCCTGTTCTGCCTGCTCCTGGCTCTTGGACATTGCTTGTGGCAGCTCTCCCCTGAACATTAGTGCCTGCCCCTGGTGCTTTTCATAAGTGCATCTGAGGCTTGGGTTCCTCTTACAAGGGACCCAATGAGGATGGAGCTGAATGCTGAGAGGATGAGAATGAGATGATAGCTTAGGCTCAGACCTGTTCCTTATGAGGCTGAGTTTTCCCCTTAAGAGAAAAAGTCTGGGCCCTTCTCGGAGCATATGTATCCTTGCTGGAGAGGATGAAAGTTTCTCCCACTCTCCCGGATCTCTTGGTGCCTAATCAGAGCACATTTGTGGAAGCTCTTATTCCCAGTGCACAATAGGATGCAATGTGGACATGTAATAAATCCAACCACAGCAGGCGCCGAGATGGTGAGGGCTGCACCAGGTGTTCTGGCTGCCTGCTGTGTGAACCATCCAGCTGCCAATCTGCTGGGGCGGGGGTGGAGATGAGTGGGTTGTACAGATGTCTCAAGGGACTGGATTAAACTGGAGTTTCTCACACTGTGGTCACCTGGGATATAGTGATGATGGGGGCTCCATCTCAGATGCTGACAATTAGAATCTCTGGAAATCTGGACCACATGCTGTGGTCTCTATTTGCTGACACCTAGAGTCTTAAGCTTTACCATCCACCCTCTTATCCTATGCTTGCCTAAGCCCTTAAAGCAGATCGGGCATGTTTCTGTGGCAGCTCAGAGATGCTACCTGTGATATCAAGGCTGGGGCTCCTCCTGTGGCTTTGCCTGCCTGTCTGACAGCTGAGGGAGTGAGGTGAAGGGAGGGTCCTTGAAAGACATGCAGGGACCAGAAGGTACAGATCTGTTCTGGGCAACTCTG